CAACGTTGGGAAATCAATAGTTTATAGTCAATAGTTTATTTATAATAATAAAACATTTATAGATAGATAATTGGTAATTGATTGTTTTGTTATTTCTACATGAATGTATTGATCAGCTTTCATAGAATATTGTGTTGGCAGCTTGTCGATGATGGAACAGGCTCATCTGTCAGCAGAATTTTCTGTTTCTTCCATGTTCTGGGTTGTTCAATAAATCATCATCAGACATAAGTCAGTCGTCAAAGTGAGAACACCTTATTGTTATTAATATACCAGAAATGCAGGTGAAACTCTGAAATTAAAATATCGTTCAAAAGTTCATAAATCTTTGTAATTCAACTAAACATTTAAAATGGTCTTTAGGAGGATTTTCTTTTTTTTCTGAGTTTCACCATGTGTATTTTTCTGAGTTTCATATAGCAGTGTTTAAGCAAACAATGTTGCAAGAAAGAGGAGGTATTCTCCCCTTTATCTCTTGTCCCACAAGTGAATTAGTCAGTTAAATCCTTTTGATTTAAATTACATTTTCAGACAACCTCTGTAATGGCACAATGAACCTTATGTGCACCTTATTAGAGAACTTGCATTTGTTCTACAGGGAAATGTCAGCATTGCAGCGCATGTACAGGAATGTACTGTAGTAAGAACACACAAGATAAACAAAGTATCCATAAATGACACTCGTTCTGTATTGCATATTCTGATATTGCACTATTGAGAAAAAGCAAAATGGAGGAGCAGTTTATTAAGTATTATTATATTTTTTACGTATCTCCAAGGGCATAAGGAACGGAGCTGTGCGTCTTGGTGGAGGTCTGCGGTCTACGAGGCTTCTTCTCTGACCGTGTTCAAATCCAGGTTTAAACAGTTCTGTTTAGCTGTGCAAACAACTGAGGGGTTTTATCTTCTGTGATTATTTACGATTATAATGCACTGTGGTATTGTTCTATCATATTCTGTTGCCTTGTGTATGAATTGTGCTGTTCAAATAAACTTGCCTTGCCTTTTCTAGTCTTCCCCAAGTGTTGTTTTTGCTATTGCTATTACCCAAAACACCACTGAACCATTACCCAGAATGAGCTTGCAAATCATTCATCACAGTGATAATCAAAACAATCTTTCTCACTGGGATTTCACATCCTTCAAAGCATAGAGAAGGGTCTCATTCCGTGTTGCTAATGCCACGTTTCTGCCTCACGACTTCTTGAGTTGGTACAGAGTTAATTGCTGTAGATGACCTGTCAGAGGAGCTGCTGATGAACAGATAAAAGAAGTCTTTCGAGGTTGATTATCACTGCTATTAATAGGATCATAAGCACCAAGTCCAAGCCCTGAATGGCAAACACAAATCCCACCTTCAAAAGCTCTCGAGAAACTCACACATTACTATTATTATTGTTATTAGAACTTTATGCAGTGGCCGGCACGTGTAATGTGTGTATGTCCAGCCAAGGGCACTTTCCTGAATGATTTATAGTGCAATAATTCAGATGCACGGAACAAAGTGAACTCAGTGTCAGTGAAAGTATTTTTATTTCTCTCCAAAACAGCAACGAGCCTCAACGGTGAAGCGTGCAGTAGTATTTGAGCATAGAATTATTAAAAGTACTGGGTTCTTCTACACCAGACAATATAAGGTTATGTGGTGTTCTTATCTTATTCTATACCTTATATTGTCTGGTATAGAAGAACCCAGTACTTTTAATAATACTAAGAAGACAAGATGAATCTTCCTAAACTATTTGAGCATAGTACATCGATAATGGATTAAAGAAGAGGAGAAACCACCATGGATTATTTTCGGCCATTAAAGATTGTCATGAGACTAATTACTTTAGTGAAATAATATCTTAATTCAAACATATATAGTGAGACTTGAAATTAACAGGCTGCAAATACACTCATAGTAACTCAACATGGCAAAACTAAGTCATGGGCAGTACTTTTGTTTTTAAAAGGCTGTTTTAAAAGTGTGATGTCATAGTGGTAGAATGACATCATACTGTTACAGGACTGAGCCAGGAGCTTTTTTTTTTTTTTTTTTTTTTTTTTTTTTTATTTATTCATTCCGAGCAAGTAAGCGGGCATAGAAATAATTAGTTCAAGCAACTTAGGTACATGTACAAAATATAACAAAGGGGTAATAAAAAAAAGAGTGAGTGATACTAACATAACACTTATGGATGCTCGAAAAGGAGTGGGAAGAAGTGAACACTTATTTAATCCCACCCCTAATTACTTCAGTCATTACAAGGGTAAAGTAAAGTAAAGGCTCCGGTTTTAGCTCCAACGTAAATTTAGCACAGATATCAAAATCTTAAACATATTGTTCATAAGCTTTTAGACAGAAGGGGCGGGTTTACATGTTTGTTCCTGATATCAGCGTGGATTGATGGGGAAGCAACTTCAAGTCTGTTTTATAGAGGGAACAGATCCAAAGTTGCTCTTGATTTTGCATAATATGTCTCCTTTGAGTTAAAATATGGAAAATATGGAAGTTTTCATTAGGGTTAGGGGTTTGGGTTGAATACTTGAAAATGTGTAGGCCTACAGTATGTATAGGTCTTTTGGGGGAAGGAAATGAACCAATAAATATTCATGCAAACATATCAATTATAAATATTGCTATTATTAATTGCATAAATGAATAAATTGCTCACTTCAACAAAAAATATTTGTTATTCATAGAGATCCTATCGTGATGAGACAAATGCTGCGACAGCCTGGGACTGCCTCTGCTATGACTCATCCCTGTAAATGGTAGAGATCCCACAATGCACTGGGGCCCGGTGATATTGAAGAGGAAGATTGTGTGGTATAGCTGAATTAGAAAACGAATCTTGGCAGGAGGTGAAAGTGGGCTTTTCTGCATGTCTAATACAACCCACAGAATAAAGATATATTTGTTAGTATCATAATGTGATTCAGATTAATGAGAGTGAGAGTTAAAGGAGACGCAATAACGATAATAATGTCTGTTAAAATGTGGGTGTTGAAATGGCAGCACAATTTTGCCAAGATGTAAAAAAATATTCTTGTCTCCTGCTCCTGAATGCCAGCTGTACTGAGACCGTGCTTTGGCAGGAGGACTGGACCACAGATGTGACAATGCCCTCCTATGACAACTGAAGGACAGAGGGAAACAAGGGGACGGGTAATAGATGTGGGTCCTGGGCTCTTCTCCTCACTCTGTCACACTCTGTCACATACAGCTGTCCCACAAACACAAAGTCAATGGCAACAGCAGATGTCATCAGCTTTGTGCCACTTGTCTCATGAGAAGTCTGCTCTGTCCAATGTCCAAACAACGATGAACCTGAATACTTTTAATATTTTGCTTTCTTGGTAAAACAACACATTGTATGGTCTGAAAGATCCTCTTTCATGAATTCATCCTGTCTGCTTTGGAGAGAAAAGGCTTTCTCTCCTTTTCTTTCAGAGAAATCCACGGCTCATTTCTCTCATGCAAATGAATGATACAAGCAAAGAAGGAGAGGCAAATGCTCTGGCACAGTGTGGAAAATGTTGTGTGACTGCTGAGGCAGAGGCAGTCCCCCAGTGTGAGACGCAATGATGAGAAAAGGCTGCAGAGGGGTCCACTTGTGACTTTCCTTAGCTGAAGGGCAGCTTGCATAAGATATATTAGACTTGCCTTCATTTGTATTTGTATTTTTTATTGTAAAAACTATGTTTATAAAAGGAGAAGGGGGTTCCTTGAGGAACCTCCATTTGCATTATACAACGTGTTCAGCAGCTCTAAAAATGACATAAGCTTTTTGCAGCTCATGAGAGAGGACAGCTGCAGCGAGACGGAATCGGAGCACCTTGTTCCTTTTGCACAAAGCCCATAAAGGTCCTCAACACTGATCTCCACAGTTAATCTGTGAAATGTAATTACAGCCCCCTATAAACCATGTCTTTTCTCAGAGAGGCAAAATAAAAACTTGAAGCGTTGAAAGATGTGCATTTTGTTAGGGTTACAATTGTTCCCTCAGTTGGTGCCAGTAATGTGTGACTCAATTATGGTTATGATAGAAAATAATGAGTAAACTGGAAATGATAAAATCTCATCACTCAAGACTGATGCTAATCAATTGTTTGGTTAAAGTATTGCTATGTTCGCTGCAGAGTCATTCAACCCTGGCCCTTGGTCAACACTCACGGCACATTAATAAAGGCACAAGAGACGATGCCAAGTCTCCATGGGGGAAGAGTCTGGCATCCTCCTCACAAGGACACAGCACAGCTGTCAGACAGGACAGGTGCTCATGGCTCCTGTATGCCCCTGTCCTCATCATCCAGGGATATGCTTATCCATACTCATGCTAGACCACTTTCAGGCCACATATCTGTATTTGATGAGACATTTGGACGATGAAACAGTTGACGAGGCTGGAGTGCTTCTTGGATGTAAAAATAAAGTAAGGACAAAATTAAACGTATGGTGCTCTTCAGTGGAGGAGCCAACGTCGAAAATGTGGAAAATTTAGACGATGGTTTGTTTTTCTTTTTTACTTTTATCTTGCATCACCAGTGACTGAAGCTAAAGCAGGGTCCTGAGTCACATTTTCAGGGTCCTTCACTACTGCAAAGCTTTATGTCAAGTAAGACAAACATGTGTATAGTATTTGAGCAAAGACTAAATAAAGATGAGTTGAGCGTTGAAAGTTTTGAATGGCGCTGGTGGGCGGCAGCTGGCTGCGCACAGGTGCACTCAGCCAATAGGAGCGCAGGAGGCAGTGCCGCCTGAGGAGAGGCGGCGCGGCCACACGGAGCTCACCTTCGGATGGAGATGAACTAGAAGCGGCTGCCGCGTGTGTGTCTGTGGCGCAAGACATCTCCAGGGGGGCAGGTGACACAGCACACCGTGCCCGACAGACGTGGATTTACTGGCTTTCCCTCCTCCTCACCTTCACCGCTTCCTGCTTCAGCCTACATGCGACTCCACTGCGTGCGCCTCGACTTGATCAAGTAAACAGCCCGCTCCACGCACCAGCAAGATGGAAAATACGCACACTAAATCAGCCACTGAAGTTTTAGATCACTTCGGGGTGAACGAAAACAACGGGCTGACGCTGGAGCAAGTCAAAACTAACCTAGAGAAATATGGTGCAAACGGTGAGTAGTTGTTCCAAAGCAGAGTCCGGTCCAGTCCGCTGCTTCTGTGGCTCTGGCGGGGGTCGTGTGTGAAGCCCTCAACACTGCGTTTGTCTGGGGCGCTTTCAGACAAGTCGTGAGTTACAACTCCGTGTGATTCCCTGTGGCGCAGAGTCAGTGGAAACATCAGTGGCACATTCACTGATGCATTCATATTCAGCCACACGTAAATATATGCAATCATTATGCAGGTTTATAAATGTGAGCTTTGCACATTTCCTTCTTAATTCTGTTGTTTTGATCCTCACGATAAGACTTCAGGTGCAATGTCATTCATGTTGTATCCATACTTCCATACAATACGGTGCATGACCTTTTTAGAGCATTAATCATTTCTGATCTGAAGTCTAACTTAGTTCAGTGTCAGCAGTGTTCCATCCGGGTTATATATGGACATGTAGATGTATGGACATGTAGATATATTTCATGCACAGTACATGTCCAATAGTCTGCAAACACATAGACGTTCTGAAACTATCTGCCTTTCTACATGTGTCTGCTTGATCATGGGCATTCCTGGCTGTCACAAAATCAGGAAGTGCACAGCAGCCAGTTATGATGAAGGCTGAGAAAGGCATTCCTGCACAACCTGTTTTCATTTTCGGCAATTGTACAGTGCAAGGTGTATACTTACTCTCAAATGACATGCAACACAATATAGGCCATTATTATATGTATTTATGTTGTAATGTGCGAGCTGATTGGCTGCTTGAATCATAGCTCTACTGGCATAGTTGTGTTTTTTGACCTGCTGGAACCTAACTTCCCCTACCTTTCCATGCACCGGCCTGTCATTTGCATGTGTGGCCAAGCTGTGTGTGGAGTATTGTGCCACTCAAACAGTAGTCCTTTTGTTGCTGCCCTCCGCTCTGCTCACAGCCGCTGATGACTTCATGGAAAAAGCAATGTCTTGCCGCAGATAACATCTCTTTTGGTTTTGAGCAGTGCACTTCCTGGCAGCAAGAATGTGTGCAGATAAGTGGTGAAAGATGGGGATACCCTGTTTTCTTTTTGGGAGGCACTTGACTTGAGTAATCGGCTTAGGTTGATTATTTTAGGCTGCCTGAAAATAACTTATTCAGCTGGTTTTATACCTCTACAGACTTGAGTGCTTTACGAGATTGTAAGATGTGGTGTTTTGTTACAAGCCTTCATCCGAGGACTGCAGGCGATTGGCCACTACGGTTCAGTGGAACTCTGCGTGCAATGTGTGTTATGAAGAAATGACTAGACATTATTGAACCAAGTGGATATTGTGGTAGTTCAGTTGTCACGGTTACTAGTGGTGCAGATATCACTGTGCATTTATATCATTTCAACAGCTTTTGTAAGCCGTCATACTTCAATAGAAAAAGTACATCATCACCATAAAAGTATGCATAAAAGAGATTAGAATGATTCACCGTTTTGTTCACTCCTTGAAGATAGCAATGTGGTTTTCTTTTGGATTTTGGAGTATTAATAACACAAATAATTTGTCTTTACGTTTTTTATACCCCTATTTTTTTTTTTCACTCTAACCCTTTACCAAATGGTTGAGATGCAGTTTTGTTGGGAAAAGTGCTTAAAACAAGTGAGATCCCCCAAAAAGGTAGATTTCAGTGTCAAGCTTCTAGTTGATAGTAACTAAAACAGTGATCCACCAAATGGTAAATGAAACTATAGAAGGTTTAAGAGTCTAACATTCATTTGCCTGTATTTAAACTCTGACAGACAGAAATCGGAGCCTCCATCACTTCTCGTCTTGAGCCTGGCTTCAGCTGACCTGGCTGGGCAGTGTAGAGCTGTCATAACCTCAGAGCGGGAGCATAGACGACACACTTTTCAGACAATCAAACACATTTGGAACTGCTATCAACACGAAATGGAAAGTCTAGCTGCACAGAACTGGCGTAAAAAGGCTGCAGTATTCTGGTCGCTGTGTAAGTGAGGCAGTGTTGGAATCAAGTGTTGTATATTGATATGCATCTACTACTCTCACTTAATAGAAAAAACACTCAAAGTAAGATAAACTAGATGAACGGTTTTCACAAATATTCAAAGCGTTTTCTTGCGTTAAATATTTTCCTGTTTAGGCATGTAGGGCGCAGATACAAGCTGATGATGGAAAACCATTCAATCAAATCCTTTAATAGTTTCCTAGTTTCATCTTTTTAGTCACTATCTACTAGAAGCTTGGAACTGAAATCTACCTCTTTGGGGCATCTCACTTGCTTTTAGTCACTTTTACCCTCAAACTGCTTTTCAACTATTTGGTAAGGGCCTACAATTAAAAAAACACTGTATAAAATGGGTTCCTACATCTTAGATTGTTTTTACATTGTTTTCTTCAAGGAGTGAACATTAAAGGGTTACAGGTACAGGTAGTACAGGTACGTCATCAGCAGTTGGGGGTTCCAGACTTATGGTTTAGAGTCATGTGTGGTTCTTTGACACAAACACACAAACACATCCTCCAGCCACAAATCTCACTTTTGAGTGAGTTTTTGTTGTTGTTGTTGTGCAGCTATCAATCTTTACCTTTTGATTATTTATTTTTTACACCCTTTGATTTTTAATTATATGTTTTAGAATCGAAATGTAAAACTAACTATTCTGAAATAGTATTTTAAACATTTCAGTGTAAAGTGCTGGAAGTCTTGTGGACTATTGTTTTATGATTAATTGAGGAATCATAATCAATTATTGATTTCTTACTGTGATTGCCTTTTTTACATTTCTTGAATGGTTGAATTGTTCCATTTATACTTCATGTCAATATCCGTTGAAGGCATCGACATACATGGGCCATAAACAGTGTCTCTAAAAGTCTCCAGAAAGGCCTCCAATGCTCACATGTATCACTACTATGACATTCACTTTGAATGAATACTACATTGAATGAACATTATGTATTTGGTTAATGATATAAATGAATATGGTACAGTTATATAAAATGTTTAAGTCAGGATCTAGTGCTCTTTATATAAAAATCCATTTCCAATGCATACATCCTAATCTGATTTCCCCGTCACGTTTGTGTTTCTGAGAATTGTGGGGGTGAGTGCAGCCCTAAACATGTCTGGTTTTGCTTTGGGACATTAGCTGATGTCATCATAAGAACAGTATGTGATATTATTATTAGTGTTACTCTGCTGTGTTTGTGTTACACACACTTACTACTTCCTCTGCAGCTCTTCCTGTTCTGCATCTTGACATGAAACAACATGGTGACGCTGAATGTGATGTTATTTCCTGCTCGTCCTTGACTCATGTAGCTTCCACTTTGGTTTCCACTTAACCCTTCACTCAGTTACTGGAGACATAGAAATAAAGAGAATGTCAGATGATGTGGTCATTTAGTACATGTTGAGTGTTGTGCGGATCAGAAGCTGTCGGAGCTTCTCTCTTCTCTGGTTAGAACTCTCCTCACAGTCTCATCTCTGGACTGAGTTCTGTGGATCTACCACTAATTACCACTAAAAGACTACCACTAATCTATACAATCGAGGTAGAATATACAATAGAGATCTCAGTGTGACTCTCCTGGTTAAATGCTTTCATGGATAATGACACTTACCTCCTGCCTGTGTCTGTCCCGCATCAGTATGGCCTTACAACTGAGTTAACTGTATTCATTTCATTATTATCATTATAGATAATACTTTGTAATTCATAACCTTTGGGTTAGGGTTCGGTTATAACCTTTTGATTAATCAATACTCAAAAGGTTAATAATGCATTCTCTGTCACAGACAACAAATTCAACTCATGACTCTATTTGAATTTTAGAATCTACATAAATAATGATTCAATTGAGAAACAGAAATTTTTTGGCTTAATTTTGCAAAATAAAATTTAATAAGTTTAAGTCTCCGCGTTTATATAACATTTGAGGAAGAAAATAAACCTGTAATCGGAGATCGATCAAAATGAACACAAAAGGCCATGATTCAGTTTTTGTCCCAGATGGCCCTCGTCTGGAGTTACAGCATGTGATCGGAGAGAAGTGTTGCTCTGATTTCAAAATGAGGAGTAACTTCTATAGATAGTCTTTTGTTGATTTCACTTTGCTGTTTTGGGAATTGCCAACATTTTACTAGAGTGTGTTTTGCGTGTCCAGGTGGTACTTGTTTAACCTTAAAACCTGTGCCGCTTGTGTGATACAGATTAAACTTTTGAGCGTGAATGTGACAGCTCCAAATGATTTAACCAAAAAGATTCAGTCATTGATGCTTTTGAACCATAGGCCTACCAATGATTAGATGTAATGCCTTGCACTGCACCACGTATATAATGTATTTACAGATTTAAAGTAGCAATGTGTAAGATTTCCATGTCAAGTCATCATTAAAGGGCCCTAATCTGCCAAATGGCATTAATAAACAATGCTCTTTTCCAAAACTTACTGTATATAACTGATTACAGTTGTTCAGCCAAGATATTTGAATTTCACAATTAGTTTTCCAGCCCCTAAATCTTGTTATTGTTTTAATTTCGATGTCCCGCCCTCCACTGTTTTACCAATCAGAAAGTCTGTGATCTGGGTTGCCAGAGCTCACCGTGTCGAGCTAATCTCACTGGTTAAGTAACCATGTCAAGCCGCAGTACGAAAAACGGTCAAGTTATGATTCTCAAATCACTAATGACAAAACCAGGAATAACAAGGATGTCTAACGGGGATACCTTTGACAAATGGAGACAATTGAAGGTTTGGAAACTTCTAAAAAAAAATCCTTTGATGATGCCAAATTTATCCCAATTAAAATGTTTGTTTATTTTTTATGTAGGACTTGTATACATGTACTGTATGTCTAAAAATTAGTGAATACATTTTTTTTATTCCCCTCTGGGAAAAGATGTATTATGGTCCCAGCTGGATTCGGTGCATATCTGGCGACCTGAGTCAGGGAGAGTGGGAGAGGACTACAGAACATTGACCATGATTGCAGTACCACTTTTGACCAAACAACCACATATTAATATAGCTAAATAAAACATGTGCTGCAACCATAGTAACCATGTAAATACTAACCATCTTAACTATCTCCACCGATGAAACTTCTATGAGGCTTTTTCAAAATAGCAGCGGGGCAGAAAAATGTTAGACGGCACTAGCCCCATTCATTTCACAAGTGCATTCTGAAGTCCACAGAGGCTAAACTAAACTGGTCCAAAAAAAACTCCCTTCAGCCTTGACACACATCTGGAAGATGGACAGAAAAGTACAAAAGTAAAAGAGGAACGAGAGCCATAGCAAAGAGCTGAAAGAGCCAACCCCTGCTCCTCACGATCTTACTCTTGCTTTTTCTTCTTGCTGCATTTATGGCCAGCTGCAGGGTCTGATGTCATGAGAGAGGGGAAGCCCTCGGCTGATTCTGACGTCTTCATCAGACTCTAGTGTCTCTGCTCCCAGCTCAGAGCGGAGAACAGGCTGAATTCATATGGTTAATGCATTCTGACCTTTCCCAGTCTCGTACATCACTGACTTTCCGCAGTATTCTCTTAGGGGCTGGCGCTGTTGTATAGTTAGGCCTAGTTTACAACCCTCCCATTCTAAACTTTTCACATTACTCTTCAGCAGTGATACAAGACAATACAGGTGTTAGCGAGTCCAAACAACATGATATGAACAAGGTCGCCGTGACCTTACAGACATGATCACCCAAACATTACAGTATATCTTGTGTTTGTGGCATGTCTAAACATGAAAGTCAGCGTCTAAACTGGTACTGCCGATTTCATGCATGTTGAGTCAAATATCGCAATGTACCAAAGTTGAGATTGTGATTTATCTATCTTTCAATATTTTGGCACAGCCCTACCTTGAACTTCCTCTAATCTCTGAATGATAAAATGAACACTGTCTGACTGGAAAGATCAGCATTCTCAGTAATAAGAAAAATACCCTTCTCAGCAGTTTGCAGTGAACTGCAGACACCCGGCCGTCCTCTAGTTTCCTGTTCCAGACTCTGTGGATGCTGCGCCCCACTGTTGTTGGCAACGGTGTCCAGGAAGTGTCTCCCTCTGTCCAGCAGCGTTGTACTGTGCATAATCAAGACCTCTATTCATTGTCTGGCCTATTGAGCGGGAGGTGGTGTGGGGACATGGTGGGAGAGGTGAAGTCAGTACTCAGGAATGTGCCTGGGCAAGCCTGCAGCTGACACAAGCCAGATGACTGTGAGGGAATCCTTGGCAGGGGGATTCCGGGGAACCCCACTACACTGCTGCAGTCCTCTCTGCTCCCCGCTCGTGTCCACTCAGAGCCTGTGTTTGTCTACAGCTATTGAGTCGCTGCCAGACTGTCTGCCTGCCATTAAAACAATTATGCAGCCGGGAGAGGCACAGTAATGGAGAAACGGTCTTTTGTGAGGCTTTTGATTTGTGGAAACGACAAAACCTACTTTTGAGTATGCCCCAGTTGTGCCCAGAGCCTCAGACATGTCTACAGCTGAAGACTGCAGAGAGGTTCTCAGGGGTTTCTAGCAAAATGAGGCTTTGTGCAAGGGCCTGTGTCGTAGCTAACATTGTAGTGATATTCTACTTTGCTGCTGAACCTTAATCACATAAACACTCAAATCTTGAATTCAGTTGTGTATTTGAGGAGCTTGTGTTTTGAAAGAGATACTTCTCTCTTTCAAAAACATGGGGTCTTATCATAGATAAGGACAATGCTAACCTTTTAGATCTATGAAGCCCAAAAGGGAAGTGCTCATAGACAAAGTTTTGCTCCAATCAAAACGTTAGATCAAATTTCTGCAGACTTGATCAATAATATCTAATTATTATATTTATAGAGTTCAGTGTAAAGGTTTGGAATATAACCAAATACTATTGGAAAAGCAGTGTGCACTTTTGAAATAAAATCAAATGTCTGCAAATCAAATGCTCAAAGTAATTAAGATGCTCATCTGTATCTAGGCCAACTGTGTGTTTATACTGTATGTATTTATAAATATTTTAGTATTCATTATGACATTTTCTTTGCCACCCCAATGACTATGATTTTGTGAGCTAATGCTTCTCGTTGTCTATGTAGACTGGGACAAATTAGGCAAATAAAATTTAGTTGTGGGTTTTTAGCTCAGCCTCAGTTTACCTTCATCCGGTGACCGCTGTGGCTCAGTGGCTTCCATCAAGTACTGCGGCAGATTTTCTTTTTAACTACTAGACTAATTTCTAGTCCTAGCATTGTTTAGTTAGAGCAATTTATCTTGACATGATAAAAGAATAGGAAATATATATTGTTTTTATTGTTATCATTATTATTACATATACGTCATAACTTATTTAATAATATTGGGAAACCCTTTACGTTAATCTTGAATCTGTGAATCATTTTGTTGCGCAGATGAAAGTGAATTCAGGTGTAGCTAGCATATGAGTTTATGGACTGTTTTGAGCTTAGTAAATGTCATTGAATGTTGTAACATTACATAAATATGGTTTAGAGTTTACACAAGTTCAAAAGCCTAAAATAAACATTAGTCATTCTGATCCATGGCAACGTCACATTTCAACAATCCATTTGACTTCATGGATTGATAAAACGATGTGTTATTATTTCACATATATGTTTATTAAAATATCTCAAAAAGAACTCTGGACGTAGCATCAACAAATGAAATATATTAACGTGTATTTCTCTTTCTCCTCATGACTTGCCTCCTCCTGATTCCTTTACAATGGACACGCTGGAACCACCAGAGCTCCCGGCTGAAGAAGGTAAATATTGATTTTTCCTCTGTGCGTCCTGCCCATCCTTAATACTTAATACTTAAATGTGTGTCATATAGATCCTTTTGTCCGGGAACTCTGTGGAGTAAATTTTAGCAGTAGACACTTTGTTTTTGTTGTAACACATGCAAACACAATACGTATGTTTTATTTTAGTATTGTCAAGAACTACAAATAGAAAGTAACATGGTGCTAAATTGGATGCAGCCATCTTTTTAACAAAACTGCACATTGTCCTTAATAAATTAAAATTAAACACATTTCATTAGGAATCAGCTGTATATATGGCTTCACTTATACACATGTTTTAATGGGCTGTTTCCTTCACATACGACAGGTAAATCTCTGTGGGAGTTGGTGGTGGAGCAGTTTGAAGATCTCCTGGTCAGAATACTGCTGCTGGCGGCGTGCGTCTCCTTTGTAAGTACGACGGATTGTACATTATACACATACACAATTATCAACTTAATCGGTCGGCATTATTTAGGACTGAAATTCTTAATATACACATCTTACTGTAAAATGCATTCGAAAATCTTTGAAAACATGTGTCCTAATGTGATCCTACTACAACACACCAGGAACACATTACTATATATTGTTAGATTTTTATTTTGTTTCTTATTTGTTCTTCTGTACAGTGTCCAAAAAAGCCCTATATAAGAATGATTAATTATTGTTATGATTATTATTATGATTATTATCACTGAATACAAAGAAACTATACTTGGAATGCATATTGAAAAGTTTATCCAAATGTATATATCCACAATAACGTGTAAAATGCATTAGTTTATTATATTTGCTTCGTCCACTGTATTTCCATAATCCTCTCATTATACAAATAGCCACATATTCACTCATAGATTCAAATGTTCCCCCAGAGACCGCTGCTCAAATTGTCCCGGAAATTCTCACTTAGAGCTTTCTCCTATACACGGAAACTTTGGGCCTGAAATATAAGTTTTTCCACCGTGCTGATAAAAGTGATGGGGTTCAGTTCGTCTTCTTGACTGGAACAATAACTATCAGTCAAAGTCATTCTACGGTTTCTTTATTTTTATTTTTATGTTTTTAAATGTTGAGGTTGGAATGTTGGAGTTGAGACAGTTGGACCGGACCGAGTGGGGGAATCCTGCCTGGCTTAATGACTTCGTTCCGTTCTTGGTGTCGCTGGATAAAACTGGTGTTGCTATTTTTGAGAGAAGGAAAATTGCTCTAAATATAATGTGAGTGACATAATTTATCTCCCCATGTTTCCAAATGGAGAGCAGTTGTGGTTTGGACAAAGGGCTGACTTTCCCTGACTGCACACTGAAACCAGCACTGGAGACAGATTTAGGCTTATAAACATAGTTAAGAATGGATATATTTTTCTAGTTTTGAAATTTGTATTAATACTGAACATACACATCTACTCACAAACTGAAGGATTTTGTTGAACTTGTGTGATACTTAAGTCTGTTACTAAGTAGGGCTGCACAATTTATCAAAAAAATATTGTTATTGCGATTTTTTTTATTATTATTTTTTTCCTTTAAAGACAGCAAAACAGACACATCAACATTCAACAAGAACAAAACAAAAAGGTTTATAAATATATACATTTTGAAGGTCATTAATGTTGTGCTTATTGTGTTTCAATGCAGATTGCAATTTTAGGTAACAGACAAAAATATTGCATTAATATCGTTATCGCAATACTAAACGCTCATATCGAATATAGAATAACTTATATTCTAACATGAATATGTAATGGGCACACACACGTTTTGCTTCTGCCCTCACTAAAACACAAATTGAAGAAAAACCTTAAAAAACTGTCAGATGCTTTTCTTTGAGTGTGATAACATAAGTGGACAAAATATCACTTCTTGTATATATATTTTTTTACATAAAATATATTTCTGATCACAAACTAGATTTATTGCATCTTTTACTAAATCTATTGAATCAATTGCATGCACTTTAAAGCGATATGATAAGTTTGCTACTGACGTGTACTTAGGTTGTTGTGGAAAAAGTAGTCTAATGGTCACTTTTATCATACTTCACCATAAAGTAAGATGCAGATAAATGATAATAGTCACTTGCATGTCGGCCTCTGATTACTAACATCCTACTACTTCTCATGTCAGAACAGGAAGTGATATGAAATGTGGCTTTGGGCTTGTGTGCAAAGGAGCTCATTTGGCTTGACTTTGAATACATTTGACTTTATCATTAGGGCTTCGAGCCGTCTTTGCATGTCACCAGTGAACCTTATCATCAAGCATCGTGGTTTGGAACAAGCTTTAGCTAAGACTATGCTGTTCTCACCCACTGCACTTTTAACTGCTTCAACTGCTGCAAATACAGAATGTTGAATAGACTTGAATCCCCAAGGGCTACGTCGGCGAGTCTCGTTCATGTTTACTTTAATTTAGCCAAGCGTATGTTTACCACAGGGGAAATGGAATGGGTTCAGGATTTTAAATGAAGGTGAAATGGAATAATGTTTTAAAATAAATAAACATGTTTTTGAATTATTTCTTTTACATAGTGAACATCAAAATCATTATAATGGTACAATGCAGGACTCAATGATGGGGATTGTTTGCAATACATTCCTATAGTTCTCATTCCAGGGCCTCCCTAAGATTTTCAGTCACTCAAAATCTATCAAAAAATGCGTTTTGTTCTTTATTTTTTAGTGAAATACAGTGAAAAGCCTATTCAAAATCATCACCGTCTACACCACGCATAAGTGTGGCTCATGGGCAAATGGCTGTCCTGTCTGTATGTGGTCATGCTAACCCAAATTAGCATTGAAATCATGAACACAAGGTCGCAGTGTCATCCAGCCTTCACTTCAGTTCTGCCAACACCTGCAACACCCCTTGGGTTCCAGCTAGGGTTGACCTTGGCTCTAATATAATCAGAAAGTTTACGTTTGTCATTCAGCCAACTTCAGCTCTGTCAAATGTGAATTGTTTGTGTATATATATCTCATTATGAAGCTCAGAATAGCCCTGGTCTACCCTAACTGGAAGTAAGTATTCTGTAAAACAAAGAATTAGAATGACTAAATCACTACTTTTTATGTTATGATTATTTATACCACCACTATATATGTTTTTTTGGGACCTACTAAGCCGCTCTGCTGAGAGTGCAGAGTATTAGATAGCCAGTTTGATGGTGTGCTGATTGTCTCTGGTGTCTCCTTTTTTGGGGGGAAAGCCCTTGGAATGTTTTGAAGAGCGAGATTCACCTGCACAAACAATGGGAATGATGAGCTATCGACCTGCTTGGTGGGGCGTGACGTACTGGGCAGCTCAATGTTCTGCACAGAAATCACCCTCGTTTGATCATGGACCTCTCCCTCATGCATCACTTTACTCTGTTTACTCTGCAATCACTTTCTGTTTCAGTGAAGTATTGTCCTACTTATTGCAATCCACCATTCCAATTGTGCATAGATTAGAATATTAGCATGATTAGTGATCGATCTAAACCAAACAAAGGGACATATTGGCAAGTTCTCTATGCTTCATATTGAACTTGTCCAATTGACTGACATTGGAAGTACTAACGTTATAAAGTGAAGTTTTATGTTCAGTGATTTCTATGCATTCGCTCTGATAAGGACTTTGGTGATGATCCAGGACACGCTAACATTTATGGACATTGGTCTCTCCCTTTGGACCTATACATACAGTACAGACCAAAAGTTTGGACACACCTTCTCATTTTGTTTTTTGTTTAATTATCATGAAAATTGTAGATTCACACTGAATGCATCAAAACTATGAATTACCTCATGTGGAATTATGTACGTACTAAAAAAGTGTGAAACAACAGAAAATATGTCTTATATTCTGGGTCCTTCAAAGTAGTACCTTCTGCTCTGATTACTGCTTCACACACTCTTGGCATTCTCTTGATGAGCTTAAAGAAGTAGTGACCTGAAATGGTCTTCAACAGTCTTGAAGGAGTTCCAGAGATGATCAGCACTTGTTGGCCCTTTCACCTTCACTCTGTGGTCCAGCTCACCCCAAAACCATCTGGATTGGGTTCAGGTCCAGTGACTGAGGAGGCCAGGTCATCTGGCCCAGCACCCTCTCCTCATTGGTCAAACAGCCCTTACACAGCCTGGTGTGAATCTACAGTCAATAGTCATGGAAAGAAAGGAAACTCATTGAATGAGAAAGTGTGTCCAAACGTTTGGTCTGTACTGTATGTATTCTATATCTTTCGTGTTTGAACTGTTTGATTCTCTGACCTGTGTTGGGGATTTCAACAGTTTTTGTTAAGTCCTCTCAGATGACTACTGTTGTGATTAAGGGCAATACAAGAATGAATAAAAAAGCTGTGAAAAAACTGAAGAGAATTTACTGAATCATCAATAATAGGATTTTTCACCCTGAGCAAAAAACCCTGTTCCTGTTCCTTTGAGAGTTATCGACACAGGCTGGTGTGTCAAACCGATGTGAAACGGCAGGAGTAAGAAAAAAAACTCGCCACAGGAACTTCAGATTGTGGTCTCTGAGGTCACGAGGGGAGGGAGGAGAGAGGAGGTGCAGTATTTGAGGATTTGTGAGAAATACATGATTTATCATTGGCTCCAATGTGAGCCAATGGCAACAATGTTTCAGTGTCACCCCAAGTGAAAATCTGATGAAAGGACTGAAATATCAATTAAAGTAAATCATTCAAACCACATAATTTGCCATCTTAAGAACAAGAAGGTAACGGCTCAGATGAGATGTCATCCATATTTGGTATCCCAATACTGTGCTAATAAAAGAATGTCCCTCAAATTACTGTAATATGATGGTGTTCAATCTTCATAATCTCTTCAGTCTTTATAAATAGCACATTGAAGATCTAATGAACATGAGAACTGTGTGAAAATATTGTTTTCCCCAACCGTTATTTTTCCTATGAGAAAGCTGCGGTGTTGTTCCAGGGGATGTATTACATCAGTGTGGTTTCAAAGCGGGCCGCACTTCCATCCAATGTACATCATGTGCCAGAATACTGTGATAGTGATGACAGATCTAAATGAACCTTGATGTTGTAACTTACTGTAGATGAAGTTAGAAACTTACTATAAATCTTATTTCTTCACCTTTATTAAGCCCTGGAGTGTTAGTTTGACTGCGCTTGCTAACTCTATGTTTTCTCATGTAGGTGTTGGCTCTGTTCGAAGAAGAAGAGACAACCACTGCTTTTGTGGAGCCTGTTGTAATTCTCCTGATCCTCATTGCCAACGCTGTTATCGGGGTCTGGCAGGTGAGATTCACTCCTCTGGAAGCGCCGACTCATGACACATGCACACAAGTGCTGTTACTCACCAATTAGTCCATGTAAAACAAAGTAGAACTATCTTTCTGAAGACGTCCTCTGCTCACCAGCTGTTAGACAGCTCGGCAGCTCAGGCCTGAAGTGACATTATACATGTTCTGAAGTATGAAGTGCAATACCAGGCTGTCTAATGGAAACACAGAGACATGACTGTGGAGGTTATACAAAACAATATTGGTTATGATGCCAGTCTTGCCAGAGCACAAAGCCCTTAACAACACGCCTGTGTTTTTAATGTTTCTATTTACTATTTGGCCATATATCACTTTATTCATCTATGAATACAGTATGAATTGTGAAACTAATACTCACAAAATTCAGGGATTTAGCTGCAAATCCAAGACGATCGTGTGTAGGCTGGACTCGTACTGCACATTGAGGACACTTTTCACATTAAACACATCACCAAAATGTGTTTAATAATATATATTACGTATATAGAATTTAATTTCACATAAGTTCACACTTGGTCCCCAACCAGGGAATCATCAGTTTGTCCAATCAAATTGAACATGCTTATGAAAAAGTTACTTGAAACTAAAACTTTTAATTTGCATTTCAATTTTGAAGTCCCTTTGGGCTGTACAAAGTTAAATTAATATCTTGTCAAAAGTATTCCTTTGATACAGGACCATCTCTGCCTTTCTCTGCACAGGAGCGGAATGCTGAAAATGCCATTGAAGCTCTGAAGGAGTATGAACCGGAGATGGGGAAAGTGTACCGCATGAACCGCAAAGCCGTGCAGAGGATCAAGGCACGAGACATCGTCCCAGGGGACATAGTGGAGGTGGCAGGTGCGCCCTGGTCATTGCACTCTTTCAAACCTGCTCCAGATGTCTTCTGCCCTCCACCATGTGGTAGAAATGATAAGGCCATTTGTCTTAGGTTTCACCAAATATTTAAATTCACAAATCCATACACAACACAGTTTGGCACTTCAAACTCAGGACCCACCACAAATGTAGAGGAGGTTCAGAGAGTTCACTTAAGCTCTGTTGGCTGTTGTTCTTGACACACATGCATATACTCAGATACTTTCATTCCAAAGTAACGACATTTAACAAGTTATGATTGCGTCTGGTTTTTAGTTACATCACAGAATATTTGAACTATTTGAATTAGAGAAACAGACAGCAGATTTGGCCCATGTTTGCACATTATTACAAAAGCAGCACACACCAATACATTACACAAGACACAACTCTGTGGACAGAGGCAGGTGCCAAATCTGCTGTGTGTTTGTGTCTGTTTTTGTGCCTGTGTAAGTGGTTGTGGTCACTCTGTATTTTAAGCCCAGATTAATTTTCCTCTTTATGTGCGCTTTCCATGCTCTCAGTCTGGCCACCTGGACACTCCTGGATGTTTGTCAGCTCCACTCTCTCACACACACTCACCCGCGTGTGGGCAGCCCGCACTAAATTTAGCTCCTGTTGTCACTTCACTTCCCAACATCTGTGTGCAAAGTTACTGCTGGAGAGGGGGGACATGGGACGCACACTTGAATGGTGTTGTCTCAGTCTGTGGGGATGGTGCCATTTGTGGCTTCACCTGCCATGTTGTGTCGGTATGCTCAGACAATCGCCCTCTTCACCTTTTGTGAAAAATAAGTCATGCAAGGGAGAGTTTATGATTTAAACATCTTCTAATGGTTCCTGGCCCTAATCTTTTTTAATATATATATTTTACCTTAAATTTACCAAAAATGTACCTTTTCTCATCAGTTCATTTACCAAATTTAACTTCCTACTGCGCCTCCACATTACTGCCGATGTACTACCTACAGTAGTGTGAATCCGTGCATTCTCAATCCCTGAGTAAGAATATTAGATAAAACTTGCTTTTATAAAACTTTTTTATGAATGAAACTGGAATTGGGTGTGAAAACATTCTGAAGGTCATCTCTTTATTCTTGGTTATAACTGATCAAAAAGATCCTTTCAAGGTATGTCACTTCATTCATTTCATTTCCACCCTTTGGCAGTGTGTCACTGTCAAGTTGTTGCAAAGCAGTAGTAAAAGTTTAACAGCTTTGTGTAGGTCGAGTTCATCTCACATATGATATAAATATATGTGTCAGGGTTAGCAAAGCCACACGCCACAACCTGGATCTAGTTGCAATAAAAACACTAAATTTCCAGTAGATTAGGCCTCTTGGACGTTCCATGGGAAACCACTGAGAGAGGGGGGTAAAATAAACTAAACGCTAGAAAAAGGACAGTGTTAACCACAAGTACCTTTTTGGGCGAGAAAAGAACACCAATAATATTTACTAAAGTTTCCAGGCTTTCGTGTAGGTACAACTTGTAGCCGCTCCCGCTGCTTATGAAATAGATGTGATTTGTGCCTGGGACTTTCTGTTTTTTGGAATGATGCGGCTGCGATGGGCATGTTTCACTTGCTGAGCTTCAGAACAATCCCGTAGACTCTTAAGTTTTGAGGCGTCTTGCTACAAACTATTTTTATGCAAGTATTCTGAATCATTTTGAATACGTGATTAATTTCTTGATTATTTTTGTTTGTGGTGTTGGCAATTTCACACTTCAAGTACAATAACAGCTGCGTACATTTTATTTCCTATTAATCTGTGATGCAGGAGTAGGAGGTAGTAGGAGGATGTAGCACCTCTCTCTCTGATAGTAGGTGTTTGAAATGGCCTTCTGAGGCCTCGGCCCGTCCTTCGGCCCCACAGTCTCCTACACAAACACTCAGCTCCTCCACACTCTGCCTCGCAGTCAGATGAACCAGATGAACACCTTTGCTTTTTGCATGTTGTAAAAAGATTATTTAATTTTTGTTTTGGATCTGCATGCTTTGATTAGATGTACTGTGTACTATGTTTTATGTGAATAGAGGCTTTGCAACATGTACACTTGGGCGGCACGGTGGCTGAGTGGATAGCACTCTTACTTCTCAGCAAGGAGATCCTGCGTTTGAATCCTGGTCGGAACAGGGTCTTTCTGAGTGGAGTTTGCTTGTTCTCCCCGTGTCTGCGTAGGTTACCTCCGGGTACTGCGGTTTCCCCTACCACTAAAAACATGTACAATAGGTCTGGCAGGTTCCTCCTGTACTGGCGACCCTGCTCCCATCTCTGTGTGGAGTGAGAGACAAATGCCCACAACTGTAAACCGCTTTGTGAATCTGATCTGTGAAAGGCGCTATACGAATAAATAAAGATAACTTACTTACTTTACATTTTGGAATTTATTGAGATTGTTATTGTCTTTATTAGGACAGGGACTTTAACGCGTTAATTAAGATGAATTAATTACACTAAAATTGGCGTGTTAAAAAACGCATTTTAATCGTATATTTTTTTTACCACCACGGACCTCGTACCTTCCATCCCGCGCGGCAGCCTCTGGGTGTTTTCCGTAGAATCGCCGCAGGATCTCCGCAGGGATAGTGTGTTTGTCCCCGGGAGGGACCTCCGCTCTCCGTAGCGCCAGCAGCTGGTCCCGGATGTAAACAATGGGGAGCGCGTGGGTACATCTATGTTCAAAGGTATAATCCACGTTTATGATCAAGACAACGGTGGAAAAACACGGCGTGTCTCACTTCCTAAGTGGGCACTAGCTTCACCCAGCTGTATTATAACAGCGGTTACAGAAGAAATAAGAATAAGTATGCTAGTAAGAAAAGTGGGAAGGAGAGGGGGAGCTATGCAACTCTGCAGCTGGCTCCCACCCGCGCGTGCATAATATGTATTACTTGTCACTGTTCTCAGGTCAAATATTTATGTGTGAATAATTAATTACAAAGCCTCTAATTAATTAGATTAATTTTTTTAATCGAGTCCCAGCCCTAGTCTTTATGTCTATAGATGAGAATAGTATTGCTTAGTTTGAGACCTAAGCTGTTGACTAATTAAAGTGTAGTATTTGCTTATCAAAAAGCCTGTAGGTAAGAAACCGTATATTGTATGCATCTGTTTGAGGAGTGTGAGGAAATGGTCCATTAGTCCTTACACAAAGACAAGCTCCAAAAATCTATTCTAGGATCATTTAGGAGAACGTGACTCCATCAAGGTCGTATGGAGCCTGATGTTTACCCGAGCCAGGCCTGAACTCTGTTTGCTCAAGAGTTTATTGGGTGAACAACGCATATTGAAATATTTTATATTCATATCAAGTTTTTGTGCTTGATATTTCTTTTACCTTTCTCACTATTTTAACGACCCAGCTCTGCTCAGCTGAAGGAGGTAACAAAACTACAACATTAAACTAACAAATTCAGACTCGATACTGACATCCAAGTTTGTCAAAACACAGTCAGACGAGCTTCGATAACTCTCAGGGAAGTTAGTGACACGACAAATGTACAAAGAACTCCGGAGTATTGATCTTGTGGCCATCGTTGCAAGCAAAAGCCAGATCCCGTCAGACCTCTGAAGCTGGGCAGGGCAGGGCCTGGTTAGTACTGTGATGGGAGACCTCTGGGAACAACAGGTGCCACTGTGGGGCGGCTTTAAAGTGCTGTTGTGTCCTTAGGCAAGACATTCCACCCACATTGCCTCGTGTGTGTGTGGTCAGAGAGACTGATGGCATCTACTGGTTACCCCGCTTTTGTCAGTGTGCCCCAGGGCAGCTGTGGCTACTGTATTAGTTTATCACCACTGTGTATGGAGTGAATGAATAATGACTTTTAAAGCGTCTTTGAGTGTCCAAAAAAGTGCTATATTTAAAAAAAAAACAAATGCATTATTATTATTACTATTATTATTATTATTATTATTATTATTATTATTATTATGAAACCTTCCAACGCTCTAACCTTCTGAGCGTTCATGATGATCTGGAGACACGCAGCAGTGACGACAACAATGCAAACATGTGCATAAATGTCATTGAGTCTATAAACGAGAAAAGTAAATAAATGTAGTTCCTTATAAAACGAGCTTATACATATACAGTACAATCAGAATCAGAATCATTTTTATTGCCACAATCTATAAGCACGTATTTCTGAAAAGCCTTGATTTGGCCATGAATTCACAATTTTAGATAGATTTAGGTTTAAATATCTTTATTTTGCCAAGTAAAAGCATCTGTGTGACATAAAACCCACTCTCAGTTTGTTCCTATTCATTCATCCAATTACAATCTGACATGTGTCACAGTGACCCAGACCCCGGAACTCGACGACGAGGGGCCGTAATTGTCTTTGTCACTTGAGTTTAATATGAGTAATGTATCTTTTGGTTTAGTTGGAGATAAGGTGCCCGCAGACATCAGGGTGACATCTATAAAGTCCACCACCCTACGAGTAGACCAGTCCATCCTCACAGGTATAAGAGCGGATTCTATCTCATTAATTACTTCATTTCATATTTGTTATACTTGTTATATTAGTTTTTTTGTTCTGTAGGAGAGTCTGTGTCGGTCATCAAACACACAGACCCCGTCCCTGACCCCAGAGCTGTCAACCAGGACAAGAAGAACATGCTGTTTTCTGTGAGCATCTGCTACTGTTTCTGCTTTATGGCATCCACAATCTGAAGATGGGCCGAGTGCCACGCTGTAGCCCACTGCCTCTAATAGCTTTTCTTGACAACAGAGAGGGATAGTTTAATGCAGAGGACACATTTCTTTACTCGGACAAAGTGCACCACCAGTGCAAAGTAAATGTAAACCCCCTTATTGCAATGTTGGGGTGTGGCCAATCATTTGTGTAGTTTTTGAAACGGTATTAATTTGAAATAGTGTTGTACGAATACTAGTATGTGGTGCACTGGGGTCTCTAAAATAGTTTGGCTCAAAGTTCATTTTCGGCACAAAACACGTGTGAGATAAAGATCTTGCTTCTTTCACACCTCCATTTCACAAGATTAGGACATGCAAGGACTTTATGTATAAGTTTTATACAAACACAAGGCAATCACTTTATTCATTTAGTAAAGTTGCCTGAAATGCATGTTAAATCTCTCCTTTCAGGGCACAAACATTGCAGCCGGGCGAGCCATAGGCATTGTTGTGGCCACAGGTGTGTCGACAGAGATCGGTAAGATCCGTAATCAGATGGTGGCCACTGACCAGGAGAAGACTCCTCTGCAGAAGAAGATGGATGAGTTTGGGCAGCAGCTGTCCAAGGTCATCTCCCTGATCTGCGTGGCCGTGTGGGTCATCAACATCGGGCATTTCGGCGACCCCGTCCATGGGGGCTCCTATGTCAAAGGGGCCATATACTACTTTAAGATCGCTGTGGCGTTGGCTGTGGCTGCCATCCCCGAAGGCCTCCCTGCGGTCATCACCACCTGCCTGGCTCTGGGCACTCGCCGCATGGCTAAGAAGAACGCCATCGTGCGCAGTCTGCCGTCCGTGGAGACTCTGGGCTGCACCTCTGTGATCTGCTCTGACAAGACCGGCACTCTCACCACCAACCAGATGTCTGTGTGCAGAGTGAGTCAACCACCTTTTGGTTTTTTTGTTGATTTATTGATTTATTTTTGAGTTGATTGTTTAGAACAGCCTTTACTGTGCTAATATTGATGTTTTAAGATATGGAGCCCAATCCTGGGGCCATAACGCCTATAAAAAATAATTCTGAAGTCACAGCAGCACTGCCCTGTTTAAATAAAGGTCAACAAATAAATAACAAAAATTAGAATCTTAGTGCTCTAGTTTCTACTTTAAGGTCCAATAATGCCGGACACTGTGCCAGGACTGGGACAGTGTTTTGTATAATCTAGTGAGTGTGTAGTGTTAATAAAGACTTTTCACAAAGAAAATCAAACAAAAAAGGCAAAAGAACTTTGGTGTGTGTCGTCTGGCGCACACTGGGGTAGTCTTGCACAGTTTTTCCAATGTGGTTTTACTGCAAATGGCAAATAAATGAATCTGAAAAGTAATCATATGTGTGTGTGCACAAGGTGCACCCGCTGATGTGAGTCTGCAGGACGGACACACTCTGAGTGAGTTTAGTGACTGCTCTGCCTGAAGGGAAAGGTGTTCTCCCACGATACGATGTCACATGATGGCACCGTTGTATTTAATTTCTTATATTGTCATGTTTTGGTGTAATTGTCTATTTCAAAATAGATGTATTTATTTTTTCATAGCAAGGAATGAGAGTGTGTATCTTTCCTTTTCCTTTAAGGCAGCCACAAGTTTGATGGTTTGAAGTTGTGGTGGATGAAGTACTGGCATTTCTTACTTAAAGAGCGACTAAACACCTGTGCCCAGCCTTACTCCGCCCACATGAAGATTTGAAAATTTTCTCTAAAAAGGGCGTTGCCTGGAGGACTAAGGGACAAGAAGGGGGGCTTAGAGTTGGGCGTGGTCTGGGCTGTGATTGACAGCTCACTCAAACAGACAGTTGTCATTGCTGCTTAAAGCAATAGTTTACAGACCAGAAAGTCTCATTCCACCCTTGTTTACACACTAAGATAATTGTAAAGCTACACACCTGAACCTAATCACACTCAATAATCTCAGAATGACTCATGTAATTTAATTTTAATCCACTAGATGGCGCCAGAATACTCCAAACTGCAGCTGGGGCGTGTGTGAGAGTTGGATGGGTTTATATCACTGGCTCTGACAGACTGACGTCACACAAAACAACTGATGTCATAGAGAACTTCAGAGTCAATGGAGAGGCCAGAACCAAATTCAAATGTAGTACCACTAAAAAGGTTGAGAGGGCGCCACACAGCGTTTTTTGGCTCAAAAGTGATATTTTATCTAATTTGAACTAAAATGTCAAAAGAATGACCAGGATATGTAGACAGCACTACAATAAACATACTTATGCAGTTTATGAGTTTAAAAAAGTTGATTTGGTGTTTAGTCGCTCTTTAAGTAAAATTACAGATACTTGGGCAAAAACTATACTTAAAGCTATGGGATCTCCAGTCTTTCAGTGCATGTGTTTTTGCCCCATCGGATCTTCACATCAAGTCTTTACATTGTGTTTGTTGCATGTTGACGACAAGCTCCAGCAGAGCCACACAGCCCCGCGCCCAGTCCGCTCTACACCAGACTGCTCTGATGGAGCCCTGACTTCCTCTTATACAGACTCTTCTATTAGCAAGAGCCTTGGCCTCCTTTGAGTGTTTAAGTTTTAAAAAATGTGAAGAATTCAAGAGTGTTATTCTGAAAACCTTATTGTGTCAAGAGACACAGAGTCTGAACGAGGTCTGGACTGAGTCTGAACCAGGTCTGGACTGAGTCTGAACCAGGTCTGGACTGAGTCTGAACCAGGTCTGGACTGAGTCTGAACCAGGTCTGGACTGAGTCTGAACCAGGTCTACTCTGGACTGAGTCTGAACCAGGTCTACTCTGGACTGAGTCTGAACCAGGTCTACTCTGGACTGAGTCTGAACCAGGTCTACTCTGGACTGAGTCTGAACCAGGTCTACTCTGGACTGAGTCTGAACCAGGTCTAGACTGAGCCTGAACCAGGTCTAGACTGAGCCTGAACCAGGTCTAGACTGAGCCTGAACCAGGTCTGGGCTGAGCCTGAACCAGTATTATTCATATTTGATTAAATTCATGCAGTGGATGTTGGTGGGTCCCACGGAGGCAACAGTTGATGTTTCTTGTCTGTGCTTACGCTTCAGGCTAAAACCACTCAGAACAGGACCCATGATTCTTTGGGCTCTATAATAACGGAAAAACTGACATGTTGGTGTATGTATGTGTGTGTGTATTTTCATGGTGCATTTTTATACATGATAGGAACACATTACCACCTTAACAACAGGCAAGAATATTTAAACAAACAGAAGGAGCCTCACATCAAGACATAACAAGACCGACACGCCTAAAAATACTTTGGGGGATTCCTCTCAGAATGAGTTCTGGAGGTGAATTCTCCAAAGACTTATTGTGTTCATTATTAATGTCAGTCTTCATCTATCTTTTAGGCTTTTGCTCTGAGCTGCGTTTGTTATTGCAGTTGTGTGGAGAAATGGAAAAACCCCATCTTCATGTTTATGTTCACGGAGCAGATAAGACATTTCTGCTGCAGGAGTGCCCATTATATTATTTCTCCACTGACTTCCAAATTACCAAAAGCATTCGTGCGTTAGTGAGGACCCGTTATTAAATGATTAGTTTAAAACACCAGGGGCCGTATTCCTAAAGATTCTGAGAGTCCTATCAGAGAGCTCTTATCTTAACCTAAAAACTCCTAGCTAGGAGTCTTAGCTTAAAAGTTATTCCAGAACACTCTTAGAGAACTCTGAGCAAGGAATTGACAACAACTTTTATCTTAGTGAGGAGGCGTGGCCGACGCTGTGATTGGTTGATCCTAAAAGTTAGAACAAACATATTTTTGATGATAATAGGCAAAATAAGGGCCCTAAAATGGACAAACTCAATCATGGAATCTAATCTTAGGAACACTGCGTTATTGTAAATAATAACCAAAAGCTATAAAGTCAGATATATCAATGGTACATAAATACTGTGAATAGTAAAGTTAGACTTATACACCATCATCAGAGCTTGCTCAGCACCAATTTATCACACATAATACGTATATATCATGAGCACTTATAATTTTATATATATATATATATATATATATATATATATATATATATACATATAATTTAAATATTACTCTATATATAATATACATGATAAAGAAAATTATTATTATAAATATTATATGGATAAATGATGATAATGATAACGTTAGGATTAGTAAAGGCTGTGATATGTATAGACTTATAAGGAATTAAGGAAACAATATTAATATAAACATATTATACATACACTGTACAAATCAAGTACAAGGGAGCTTAAAAGTCTTATCCTCTCCCACTCCTTTTTGAGCTGGATTGTTGTTAATAAAACAAAACTGTATATTTGTACTTCTATTCTGTTGTTGTTTTGTTTGTTTTGTCCTTTTTTTTCTTGTTTGCCATGGCTCAAAATAAAGTATTCATTCATTCGTACTGAATGTGTGACAATTTAGGACCACTTTTTCCTCTCTTTCAACTTTTACCATTTCTACTTACTTTTCTGTAACAAAGGTAAAATGGATGAGGTGTTATTGCTGACCAGCCAATGAGAAGCTGGTCACATGATTGACTTTTAAATATACCACAAACATGATTCCTGCTTGAATCTGTAGCGTTTCACTGATTCACTGTCATCCAGTGTATAGAATATTTCTCCTGTCTCCACCGTCCACCATTTTGTGCTCTTAGGGAACTTTTAAGTCGCTAAAAGTCCTCCTCTCAACTCTTAAGGGATCTCCCCTTAAGAGCACTCTTAAGAGCTAGGATTCTTTAGGAATAGCTTTTATCTTAACTAGGAGCTACTCCTCACTTTTAGGGGAAATTCTAAGAGTTGGTGAAGATTCTAAGAAAATTCTTAGAATTTGGCCACTAGGAGCAACTTTTAGCAGTAAGAATCTTTAGGAATGCGGCCCCAGGCCTTTATTTCATTTATATGCCACATTGTCGTGAGATGTTCCGTATAGGCTTCGCCGCTTTCCATTTGGCAGGTTAAACTGATTTGGGTGTTAGAGACTTTGTCCAGACAACTGCTTTCTAAAATGTTTAAAAAAAAAATCATGAATCACTCCTGGACAATTGTGGTATAATACATCTTCATTCATTTTTAGAATTTAAATTTCACTTGTATATAGTATTATATAGATTTTACTTTTTTTAACTTAGTAGCGAGAGCCAAAGGTATTTCCTAGTTCATGAATTCCTGTTACAATGGCTATAAAAATAATTCTGATTCTGATTTATTTATTATTTACATCACATGCACAGTGACATTGTTATGATCATGGTCCATTACAGTCAAATTTCAAAATATTTATGTTTTATTCACCCGCTCTGAGCTAATTATCCATCCATCCATCCATTTTCTTCCCTTTAATCCATTTCTGGGTCAGGGGGGTGGCAGTCAGAGATGCCACCCAAGTCTCATAGCACCAGCCCCTCACTGACCCTCTGCAGGTGGTGAGTCCACAGGAGGACGGCTGCTCTCTGTCTGTGAGCATAGCCTTGATCATTCAGTGGGGGCTTTGGGCAAAGTGGGGTGAAGTGTCTTGCCCAAGGACACAACGACAGCAGTCATCAGTGGGAATCGGTGGAGAAGGTGTAGAGGCGGGAATTGAACCCACGACCTTCTGGCCTTAAGGCCAATGCTCTACCAACTGAGCTACTGTCGCCCTGAGCTAATTATCAATGTTTTAAAAAACAAGGCTCGATATTTTTCACTTTGCATATACTGTAATGAGCCTGTCATACTGTATATTAGTCTCACATTGTACGTTTGAATGACAGAATTAAATTGATAGATAGATAGATACTTTATTGATCCCAGTAGGAGAAATGTAGTTGTCCAGTAGCAGCAAAAATAAAAAATAAAATTGATCATTCTAAAAAGCTACAATAGTAACAATCTGCAACAGCCCTTCAGGTCACAGCAGCAGAGGTGGAGTAGCCTCTGGGTGGAGCAGGGTGGGTCACAAGGTGGTGTAGCCACTTGGTTTGGACCATTTTCTTTGCTCTAGTCCAAAGTATAATGCTGAATTGGTTCAGACCATGAATCCTCTCTGCTCTGGTCTGGACCAGTGTAAAACCATGTGCAAACATTGTACTGCACCAACATCTCAGGCAGAAAAAAGCAACAACAACAAAAAAACAATAGTAAAGCACATAACGACAACTGTTTCAGAGCTACGTAGGACCTGCAGCCGTTTTCTAACGCATTCAAACGTAAACAATGCACTTGGGATTAGAACAATATTTTAATTTTCCAAGTTTCACCTGTGTGTCTTCCCAAGATAAATAAATAATAAATACCTTCTGTAATAATGTTTTGATCATCTTACTTGTCATTTATTGCCTCATTTGTCTCACAATTGTCTCACAGTTTCCTCTGCGTGCTGAATAAAAGGGGTGGTTCTAGTTTAGGGCCGTTTGTTATTCCCTTCTAAGTGCATGTGTCGGACTGAAGCATTTCGATTTCAAAATGGAGGTGCTTCTTTGGGATTTCCGCTGCCTCTTTCTCTCCCCGTCTTGACTGCAATGACGTCGACTTGGTCTGAGTGCACCGTAACAGGGAGTTCCCTCCGCAGGAAAGACAGTCAGACTGATTCGAGTGTGTGGCTTTAGGATGGGGGTAAATATTGACGTTGTCCTCCTCATGTGTCCTGTCAGCACTGGGGGGAGATAAGCAGCTGGCTCCTACACACTCAGATAAGCTGCTGCACTTCCTTTTTTCAATGTCCTGTAGATGACTAATAAGGAGTTCTGTGTAGCTTCACGAGTTCTATATTTGTGTCTTTATTTTTAAACCGGAAGCGTACACCAATAAGTCATTTTTTTTTTTTTTTACACAAACAATTGACTTAACTGTTAGTTTTGCCAACATTACTTATTTGTCACAATTTTGAGAGAGTAACTTTTCTGTGCTTCCTGTTGTTTAAGGACATAGACATCTCTTATGTACATTATTGATCTTCACTGTTTGAGAAAAAGCTAAAGGACTTGAAGATGTTGTCTCAAGCGGCTAAGAACATGTCATTCTCAAAGTAAAACAACTTTTATACAAACATGGGCTGAATGACCTCCCTGCAAGTACGAAGCCAGTCCTCCAATTACAACTTTATATCATTTTGTAAAACATGCAGGACTGGTCATTTTCAGAGCGGTTTGAAAGTGAATTGAATCTGATGGCCTTAATCACTTAAACTAGGAAAGAAAAAGATTGTGAGACAGAGACCATCTCTGGAGCATTGGGGGGTGGCAGTCTCATGTTGTGTGGCTGATTACTTTCACGTTGGTGACTTCATAAAATAGATTGGATCGTGAAAAAGGAACATTATACATAGGTGCATTACCACTAGGGGTGGGAAGGGAACCTCAGGGTACCTGACTATACGATACGATACGCGATACAAAGCTCACGATAACGATTATATCACAATATGACGATTATCGATATATTGGTCAGAAATATACCTACGATTATTTATGGCATAAATAAAAGAAAAATGTTAAGTGAAAAAATGCACTTCATTTAATGATAAGTGGAATGGAGATGCGTAATGTATCCATATATTAATCATTGATACTAACTAAAATAACAAACAAAAAATAAAAAAAAATATATATATATATTTTTAAAAATGTATACTTGGCAAAAGCATATCGATAATCAATCTCGTGAGAAAGTTTCACGATACATCACCATATCGATATATCGTCACACTCCTAATTACCACAGGTACAGTTTGGTTCCATTTGCACATGTGGCCACTATTTTAAGTGAGCCATAAGAGACTGATCCAAAGAGGATTCTCTGCTCAGAGCAGTCTTCGGTAATGGCCAATATTGTTTTATTTTTACTTTATTTTTATTTTTTCTTGTCCAGCCTACTGATTGAAACAACAATGACTAAACTCTACTAAACCCAAACATTTGCTGTGTAGCAACATTGCTGTTAGCAGTACATGATTTGAGTTAGTATTGTGTGTGGTGCTTGGTTGGCTGTGCGCTCAGCCCCGCGTATAGAATAGTACATTCTCCTTGTCTTTAAGGATATCCAAACGTCCTCTGTACGACAGGACTCCCTTTAGTCTTTTCATGCGCTCTTGTGCTTTTTACTCCCACTCCTAACGGGGTACTTGTGACACAGTCAGAGGAGTAAAAGACGACAGACTGGTGCCGGGGCCACACTGGCTCTTGTTACCGTGGAGACCAAAGCACATAGCTCAGTCAAACAAAACCAGCACTAGACTCTTCACACCGCTCTTTGAGGAGAATCTGACATTTTTAATACGTCTAGAGGGAAAAGGAACGTTCTGGAAACGATAATTCAAATATTTGAGGCTGCGCTCTGCAAATGTTCTGTTACTGCTGCCTTCAGTTTTTATTCAAAAGATACGCAAGACATTCCATAGTTCTTTACAATCAAGAAAGGGAAATTTCAGTTCACGGCACATTCATGAATAAAGATTTTCTATGAGTTGTATGAACAGCCAAACAGGACTGTTTTAACTTGGATTGGAACATGAGTAGAAGCCAGTCGCACATTTTCAAGAGGTCATTCCCTGTGCTCCTCAGAGGCCTCAGAGTTGGTTCATTTGTCACACATGTTGGATGCTGAAGATCTAACCACAGTTTTCTCTGAACTTTGACAACAGCAGGTGAACGAGGACCTTCCAGACCCACCTTTTTAAACTGTCTGAATTACTTTTACTTCAGTTATTCCCCACTGGTGTAGTTCAAACATGTTCTTGTTTTCTTAACACTCATAAGCAAATGTTTCTAATCACTCGTTAGTTTTATTTTTATTTACCATCATAGTGGAGGTAAACCTATGATGAAGGACTTGCACAATTGATGGCTGACTAAATACGTTTTTCAACCCAATGTATATGTGTGTTGCTCTTTTCAGACTGTAATTTGTTTTTGATCTATTCTTAGTCACAAAAACAGTTTCTTGAGGTAATTGGAGGTGCCAGATGTGTGCAGAGCTCGGGCCTCCTGACTTGTATTGTTTTGCCGCTGGCCACTGGAGTGTGTAAGTGTGTATGGCAGTGTGAGTGACTGATGAAGCTTTGGATGTGAACAGAACAAATTCCCAAGATGGCTGCGTGTCTGGGATCTCAAAAAGCTCTCAGAGTGGGGTCAGCGATCCAGAGCGCTCCTCACAAACTCTGTCGGCTTTGGTTGGACAAATACCTCTCACAGCCTCTTTCTGCAGCCGTTGATGATAGCAAAACTTTTATTGTTTGTTTCTGAAAAAATATTGGAGATTATAGATTGGGTCCTTATTAAGCTCAAGATTTTATTTAATGTTATTTTATTTATTATATAGTTTTAGTAACGAGAATATAGCTGTGTTCATATATCTTGTCCTGTGTGCCCTCATTCCTACTATTCTACAACACTGAAATTTCCCCACTGTGGGACAAATATAGGATCTCTTAATCTTAATCTTAAATTCACAACAAACCCTTCCGTCCAATGTATTTTGATTGTTTCTCACTGTTTGAATGTGTTCTGTTTTAGATGTTCATCGCCGACAAAGTGGATGGTTCTAACTGTAGCCTCCATGAGTTCAGCATAACTGGATCAACATATGCTCCTGAAGGGCAAATGTAAGTGCACTTTATTTTAAAATGTCTGTGTCTTAATGGAAAGTTCATCCAAAGTTGAAGCATCTCTAATTCATCTTCTGTACACTGATGGATGTATAGGAAAGTTCACCTTGTTTTCTTGGTAGAAATACAAGTATCATGGTTTTTCTAAATACTTTCAATCTTCCATCTTCCTCAAAGCGTGAGATGGAAGTTTACCGTGCAAACATGTGAAGGTAACACCGTCGCTAATTTAAGAACCAAATACTTTAATTTTTACTCATGAAAGTACTTTAATGTTAGTACAGTGTATTTCACACAAAAGCTCGTGGCTCTTTTGTGTCTGAGTTGTGTTGCTTTCATAACACTCTCATGATTGTGTGGGAGCAACAACAGGTGCCATCACTAGTCACAAACATCACTGATGTTTCACCTTTTCATTTTCTGCAAATGCCTTTTCATAACCCGTACATCAGCCGTCCTCAGTGCTCATGAATAAATGTACTTTCATCTACTGTTTGTTAAGATAACTTCATCGCAAGTTTATTACGATTTCAGTCAATCTCAGAAATTAGAAAAAAAGAAGAAACTATTGGATTTATTTGGTGATGATCCGTATCACAGTATGGCACCACGAGTATTATTATTTGTCTTCTTGGCAGAGGTCTGCACTCTGCAAGTGCTTCTCCTGTGTGCTTCTCTGTGTGACATCTGTTTCTAATGTGTGTGTTTTGGTGAAGACTGAAAGGAGACAGACCGGTCCAGTGTGGAGACTATGATGGACTTCTGGAGCTGGCGACAGTCTGCTCCTTGTGCAACGACTCTTCACTCGATTACAATGAGGTTCCTGCTGCACTATCTTAATAATAATAATCATTATAATAATCCTGCTGCACTATCTTTATAATAATAATGTTTATGATGCTCCATCTTCATGTACTTGTACAGATTCTTGTGTTTCAGTAACAGTAAATTACTTGTAGATTTAGAACATTGTAAATGCTTTCTTTCCTGGAGCAGAGTTAATTTTACTCCAAGCTATGATTTTTTTCTGCTCAAGTTGTTTTTCTCACCTTTTTATCATTGCCATGGTATCGTTGTTGAAAGGCTAGCAGCACAATGTTTTTCGGCTCATGTCCTTCCCAGACTCACGCATGCAACTTATTTCCGAGAGGAGATGCATTTTAAAGTTAGAAGCTGCATTCCAGTGAATTCATTCAAACTTTGCTCCGCTAATTTCATCCTTGGCCGATGACTGACCTTTGCCTAAAGTAGATTCAGTTGTGTTCAGGATACAGTGTTGCATTCATGATATAATCTGCAACAAGGAGAAAAGAGTTTAGGTCATTTCTTATTACCATTTATTAAGACATGATCTCAACTTTTACATTCATAATTACTAGTAATCTTAATGCAACTCTATGTTGAAAATACAGTTGTTTTTATCATTGCCCTTGTGTGTATTCAGTCAGTCAGTGTTTTGGGTGTCGGGTTAAGGCACTCCTCAGGCTCTTTACAGTGGTGGTTGAACGGTGTGTAATTGTGGTTATGTTCCAGGCCAAAGGAGTTTACGAGAAGGTTGGTGAAGCCACAGAGACTGCACTCACGACTCTGGTGGAGAAGATGAATGTGTTTAAGACCGACCTATCAGGACTCAGCAAGGTGGAACGTGCTGGCGTCTGCAACTCCGTAAGAAGCATTCACACATGATGGAGGTTTCTCACTTAAGGCTTTAAAGCTATATATCTTCGTTAGAGTAGTTTTAAGTACTGTGCCTGCAGGACTGTTTTCTTAGGATCCTCTTCTGTATGCTGTGCTGCCCTCTGTGGACACGTAGTTAACTCAATCCTATTATACCTTTTTGAGTATATTTGAAATGTAAATGTGTTTTGGCTGCCCTCCGCCGTCCGTACAATACATCAAGGCATGTCAGGAGTCCACATTGTCTCACTCAAGGACTATTTGACATTTAAAGGTTGTTGATAGAAGCCGATGTTTGACTACAGGGAGTTAACCTGGGATTACTTGTGTTAGAGACAAATCACCTGCAAAACAGCAGGAGGTGTTGCGTCATGTTTGAGCTTGTTCTTATGCATAGACCTACTCAAACATGACATCCTGTTATTAGGACACACTTAAAGATGAAACACGACCAAAGCTGGGTTAACGTTTGCCATGAGATAAGATAATGATTCAAAATGATTCAAGACAGGTTTAGAACGAGAAGGACATCTAGTGGTGAAGTACTTAAAAGGCGTCCTTAAGGAAATACCCCTAGTGCAATAGTATTTATGCAATCACTGTGTAGACTGTTGTTTTAGAAATTCTTCTTCTCTCCCTGACAAAGTGTGTGTCTCAAGTGTTCAGCTGCCAGGAGCTGTGCTTTGCTAGTCACCCACCAGATGCCACGCTGACAGCTGCCCACAAATGAAGCTATTTAGCTCTGACGCTGTCTATTTTCCACTTCTCTGCCTCCCTCTCCTTTCCTACTGTCATGCATCAGGTTATCCGACAGCTGATGAAGAAGGAGTTCACTCTGGAGTTCTCCAGAGACAGGAAGTCCATGTCTGTGTACTGCACCCCTGTCAAACCGGGATCCCCAAGCAAGATGTTCATCAAAGTATGACTGAATGTTATGGACACATTTGAATATGGCTGAGCATAAATGTTTTATTTATTCTTGTGCCTTCAGGGTGCTCCAGAGAGTGTGATTGAGCGCTGTGATTACCTCAGAGTGGGCACCTCCAGAGTCCCGCTCACAGCTGACCTGAGGGAGCAGCTCTTGTCCCGGATCAGGGACTGGGGCACAGGGCGGGACACGCTGCGCTGCCTCGCACTCGCAACTCATGACTCTCCACCAAACAAGGAGGGCATGGACCTGGAGAACTCCACCAAGTTTGCCCAGTATGAGGTACTAGGTGCTCCCCAAGTCCAACAATCCTGTTGAGAAGATAATATAAAGAGGAAAATGTTTGATAAAATTAACCAGGGCAAGGGTAGGGTACTATTTAAGGCATTTATTGATAATACAAACAAGTGCTTCTTACTTGTAGCACAAATGACATGCATGATGTCATGTGACACAGGTTACGTGACTTTTGTTTCTTTCTTTACACATTCGCCCTGACCACACAGATATTGTTCAACTTCTGTTGGACACTTACAGAATGCTTATGTAATGTTTCTGCCATCAGTATGAACTGACTTTTTTCCTCTGTTGTTTTAGGCGGCCCTCACCTTTGTGGGCTGTGTAGGTATGTTGGACCCTCCTAGGAAGGAGGTGATCGGCTCCATAAAGTTGTGTAACGAGGCTGGTATCCGTGTAATCATGATCACTGGAGACAACAAGGGCACGGCTGTGGCCATCTGTAGACGCATCGGTATCTTTGGTGAAGAGGAGGATGTGACGGGCCTGGCTTACACTGGCCGTGAGTTTGATGACCTGCCAACAGAAGCCCAGAGAGAGGCCGTCAAAAGGGCCAGATGCTTTGCACGAGTGGAGCCAGCACACAAGTCCAAGATTGTTGCATTTCTACAGTCCTTTGATGAGATTACAGCCATGGTAAGAATTAGTGACCATCACAATGATAAGATGTTATCATGTTATCAACCCCAGGCTGCATCAGGGGTTACTAAACTTGTCAGACAAGATCCCCCAAAATAAGCACAAGTCCAACTTGAGACCGCCATTACAAAACAAAGGGATTCCTTTATTCGTCCCACAGCAGGGAAATGTCATTGTTGCTATACTATATTAATTAAAACTCTAGCAGCAAAGAAACAAGTATAAAATCTCAATCTTTAACATAATAAAGAAGTATAAAATCTACATCATTGGCCAAATAAGACATGTAAAATACTGTGAATTCTAGTGCAAACAATATGTAGTTGTATGTTTACATCTGTACATTAGCAGCAGCCTGTTTACATCTGCACATGTCAGCAGCAACACACGTTAACGTTGTGGCTTGTTAGAGTTTTGTGTTGCCTGACCTTATTTATCTTAACTAAAATAATACTAAAAACCCCCAGTTTAACTCCCACGGCCTTTACTGGAAACCACTGCCGTTATCTCTTTTCACAACTGTGAACGTCCGCACATTGACGTTGCATTACACACTAAACAGCAGAGAAGTTTGCGTGAGAAAAGGCAACCAAGGCGTGATTTGTTTTGCTGCTCAGTATCACACTCTCTCATCTCCAACTCTGCTATCTGACAAACACGCCGCTGACAGCGCAGTCTGGGGCAAAGTTGCGACAACAATATCACCATTTCACATAAGTCATCAATCAACTGTGCAAAGCTGCTTTAAGCTCTTGTCGCCTTAGGTCTGCGTCTCACTTAATCCTCTATTCCCCTGCGACTCCTGCAATAAGTACTTTGCTTTGAAGTCCATTCTTTATTATTACGTCTGCGTATATTGTTTGTTGGTTCATAACTCCTTTCTATATGCACGAATCTTAATTGATCTTTTTGAGTTTTGTTTTGCAGACTGGTGATGGAGTCAACGATGCCCCTGCCCTGAAGAAAGCAGAGATTGGTATCGCCATGGGCTCTGGGACAGCCGTGGCAAAATCGGCATCAGAAATGGTCTTGTCCGATGATAATTTCTCCACCATCGTTGCTGCCGTGGAGGAGGGACGAGCAATCTATAACAACATGAAGCAGTTTATCAGATACCTCATTTCTTCCAATGTTGGAGAGGTTGTGTGGTGAGGGGAGCATGGAGTTCAAAACATAATTGACTGTTGTTGTGGCTTCTCCTCATGTGCCTGTGTTGTGTGATGCAGTATATTCCTGACCGCCATTTTGGGTCTACCAGAAGCTCTGATCCCCGTGCAGCTTCTGTGGGTGAACTTAGTGACTGACGGCCTTCCCGCTACGGCTCTGGGCTTCAACCCTCCGGACCTGGACATCATGGACAAACCTCCACGCAACCCCAAAGAGCCTCTCATCTCGGGATGGCTGTTTTTCAGATACCTGTCTATTGGAGGTACAGTGGGGAGCAAAAGATTGGACACTTTGATATCAGCTGTTTTGATAATAATTTTATATAGCAATTAATAATATGTAAATAATTCTAATAGATAATATTTTCAGAGAAAACTGCATTCCATGTTTTAATTTTGTTTTAATTCTTGCTCTGTTTGACTCTTTAAATGAAATCTCTCATAAATTGGTTCCTTAAACTATTTTTTTTTAAACTATTAGCTGCAATTGTTACACTTCCAAAAAAACACTATACTCGTTGGCACACAGCCTTTTTCTGTTCTTTAAAAACACAAAAAAATCACCGCTATTTGTGAAGTGATACAATTCTTGTATTTTTGATTCTAAGTTTGCACCACAACAATGGACTTGAAAGGGGCGTGACTTGTGACTGTTCAGTTTGTGGCCACCTTGTTCACCTTCAGCTTCTCTGCACAGGCTCCTCTAACCCATTGATCTATAATAATAAGCCCCAACCGCACATACATAGAGCTGAATACAAAAATACAGGATTACAGAAAATTCACCACAGTTTGAAGATGAGCCATGGTGTCATCTACAACTACAGTGTCTATTTTAATTGGAGGGAGTTAGCATCAAGTTTATTGGAACAGTGTTCAGTTCCTGCTGTTCATGGGCCATACTCGCTTCAGTTTTGTATTCATAAAGGTAAATGATAGTCAATTGGATACAGGTTTGGTCATTGCGTTTCCTATTGCTTAAGATTCTACTACTTTGCTTGGACAGTGCTTCAGGTCATTGTACGTCAGCACTGTTCTTTTGAAGATTTTTTTAAATTTAAAGACTTAAATTGGGCCACACATGTTTTGTCATCTGAGTTTTCTGTTTACTGATGTGATCGGTCTTTGGATCTAGTATGTAAAATCAGATCATGAAAGAATAACACCAAATTAGCCATGGAACTCCTGATTAGCTTTCTGTCAAAATCATTTTTGGAAATTTGGGAAAAATGGGGAGGCCCTTTACCTTACATCGTCCATCTGATTTAGATGTAAATGTACTCAAATTAAAAGTGGAGCTGCCTGTACTCACTGAACTAATCACTAATGCTTGATCTTGTAGGATACGTGGGCCTGGGCACTGTGAGCGCTGCCACATGGTGGTATCTGTTTGATGAAGAGGGGCCACAAGTGTCTTTTTATCAGCTGGTGAGTGAGATGGTCTTCATTTACATGTCTCTCTATAGTCACTGCAGTTTTCCCATCAGACTTTAGATCCATGTTGCTGGTTTCACTACTGTCCCAGAGACTTCCTCCATAAACCACCACTCTGTGTTTCTTATTCCAGAGGCATTTCATGCAGTGCACTGAGGACAACCCCATGTTTAAAGACATAGACTGTGATGTGTTTGAATCCCGCTATCCCACCACTATGGCCCTCTCTGTGCTGGTGACCATTGAAATGTTCAATGCACTCAACAGGTTAGTACTATCTGCATTTTACAACATCTGAAAATGTTGATTGAAAAGACGAGGGTTGTGTCTGTGTGTAATAATTCCTAATTACTATTTATATACGATTTATTACCCTAGCCCTGGGTATATGATGCAGATGCTGTCTGGAATGTGCACAATCTGTAATGACAAACTATGAATGATTGAAGTGATACGTTTAATTAGAAAACTAAATACATTCTTTTGACTTAATATTAAGTCATCACAATGGACCTCTGCATCAAAGCAGGATCATAGGCCCAGTCAGCATCATCTTCTCCTCTAGCCCCCTAACATGGGCCTCCAGCCTCCAGCCTCCAGGAAGACCCCAGACCACCATCATACCAATCAACGTTTTCTATGAGCCCGCTGCAAAGTGTCCTTGTGTCTTTATATGAAGTAGTAAGTTTGATGCCCTGCTGTGACAGCCTGTCAGAGAACCAGTCGCTGCTGCGGATGCCTCCCTGGGTCAATATTTGGCTGCTGGGAGCCATCGTCCTGTCCTTGTCTTTGCACTTCCTGATCCTGTATGTGGAGCCGCTCCCGGTGAGTGTTTCTTCTTTGATCTGGTTTAATCTTATGAGCTGAGGCCAAAGGTAAACAAATATAAATACACTTTGTATGTTCTCCAGCTCATCTTTCAGGTCACCCCATTGCAGTGGTATCAGTGGATTGTGGTATTGAAAATTTCTATCCCGGTTATTCTCCTGGATGAGGCATTAAAATATATATCCAGGAATCATCTGGAAGGTAATACTATAGCTATTTACTGTGCATAAACATTAATGATGTGTATTCATGCAATAACATCTTATGCATACTTATTTAACATTTGTCTTCTCTCTCCCACTGCCTTCTGATTTAGTTTAATGTCTTTAAGTTTATCTCCCACTCTATGGAAAGGTACTTAATCTCCTTCGCCGTGGTGTTTTCACTGTAGAGCGTGTGACTTTAGTTTTTTTGTTTAGCCATAGCTCCTGTTCAGACATACTGGGGTATATTTATCAAGACAAGTAATAAACTGTTAAAATCGTGCATGCAATATTCATGATTTAGTTCTAGCCACATGTGCACATCATAAAACACTTTGTTACGTGGTGCTAATCACTTTTGCACACATGCTGACCCTTGATAAATATACTTCTTTGTGTTCAGTATGTGTTTAAACCCTCCTTGTGTCATCGTTTTCAGTAGTAGACAACTCTGACTTCAGCATTACTCACAAACACAACAATACTAAAACACATTGTGATGATTTAAGAAGAACAAGTAGACTCTGATCAAATCTATTTGTTTCCTAATTCATCATATGACATTTTCCCTCATTTTTTTCAAATGTGGTTCTGTAATGTAATAAAATAATTACTTTTTTTTCCCCCCTGCAGTTGACGAGGAGATGATCTATCGACGCCGATGGCAGCTGAACTAAATCCTTTTCCCAAAACACACCTAAACCTCCGCTTCTTAAAACGACTAGAACCATTTTGCCATTTCCCTCTCCTGCATGTCCAAGCTACCACCACCCACCTGTAGACATGAGCAGGACCCACACCAGTGAAAATAGTGAATGAGTAAGTGTGCATGACGCATCACCGGGAGAAAACATGCCTAGAGCTCTGCTTTTCAAAGATGCTAATAGATTTTTGGACGGTACAATAGAAACACATTCCAGCGGACATTGTAAGAATATTAGATAACCGTGAGATAAGCAGGAGGGAGTTGACGGAGGGATGATGCCAACCACAGAGACGAACATAAAAAAGTGAAGCTTCAGAATGCCTTGTGTTGCCGGCCTTCTTCAGGACAGGACCTCCCACGTCTTCACCTGTGTTTCTGATCAGCTCCACTGCTCCTCGTTTGCTCCTGTGTCCACGTTTGAACCACTCACTCATTTCATTTCTGTTCGCCTTCGTATTTTTGTCTGACTTTTGTCTGTCTTTTCTTGTTGTGAAGGCAGCTTGTTGCCCCTGTGTTGGGCTAGTTTTGTTGGAGATATGGATTTTTATAGTTTTACACTGCTGATGCTTGGCCAAGGTGGATGGTTAGGCGCAAAAGTGAAATGTGAAAATGTCTCCGAGCAGATCGGGTCAGATCCGGCCAGCCCTCCCTGTAGTGCCCATCTCCTGCACCGCTATTTTAGATTGGATACAAACTCAATACAGTGAATGTAATTGCTTGAATGGTACTCTATTAGAAATGGGACACATTGACACATTTTATTATCATTCTAAAACTTCAGAACTTCATTTGTGTTGATTAATCACACACATTTATCTTGGGTAAAGTGTCTTGCTTAAGGACACAAGGGCCAGTGGGTGCCTCAGCCCTCTCACCATTGGCACAGTACAATCCCAGACTTTTTTGGCCCATGAGATCTATAACTGGCATTATTTCAGATAATAAATTGTAAATTGGAAGAAAAAAACAACAATATTCGTTGCATAATAAATAATAATGGTAATGATTGTGTTCCTGCCTACTGCTCCTCTTACGGACATGTGCTGATCGAGGAACAAGTGAATTCAAAGCAGAAGGAGTAAATGCAATTGTTATCGTTTCCAAAAAGAAATAGATTGTAATTTTGTTCTAGCTTACTTATATTTATTTATTACTTTGCTTTGTTGCTTTCTTGGGCGGGGATGTTACAGTAAATTGGTGATTTTCTCCAGACAGAAAACTATTCCCGTGTTGCTGCATTGGGCAATGTATGACCACAATCCTCTTTTAACCGTGTTACACCATTGTTCCATCCTCCAAAGCAGGACTGGACTTGTTTTTAGACCCATTCACCCCAATATAAGGATGTCTGGCACAAACATATAACTCCGCCCCTTCTAGTAAAAAGTATGATGTCATTGAACCACTATGACCTCACGCATCATTTTCAGCCTTTTTAAAACAAAAGTAGTGCCCATAAATGAGTTCTGGTCACATCTCAAAGAAAATCGCCTGGCTGTGTTTGCAGCCCGGGATTTTGAAAATTTGAAAAAAATAACAAAACAAAACCATAATCAAGTCCTCCCTCTGCTGGTGGGATATGGGGAGTTACAAGCGGAAAGCCTGTTTTTTTTACTTGCTTCACCATATTTTTTCTTTTTACATTTCACACTCTATAACACAAAATCCCAAAGTAAAAAGTGGGTGAATGAATGACCAAAAATATTGCATAATATGTATTCTTTAAAATTCAAACCAATTTGTGCCGGTGCATTTATCAGACATTGACAGTTTTGCGTCCAGTTGCTGTGCACTTTGGCTCCTCAGCTCATCTTGCTGCTTTAGTCTCACTCGTGTCTTAGCGATGTACAATACAAATATAGTGGAGGTTGTGTGGACTGAAAGAGACAGTGTGTGTCTAAATCTGAGCAGGCTCATACTGCACCTTTTTGTTTCTTTTCCAAATTAGGTGCTTTTTTAGATCAATATTGTATCCATTCACGTGCCCATAGAACCTGTACATTTTAATTTGTACAGCCGATATTTTTTTATTGCATGAAGTGGGCCAACAAACACTCATGGCTTCCATTTTTACATTTCAGACATGACATGATTAAAGAAACCCACCACTAAAGACATGAATGTATACCTTTGCATTTGCTTACAGTATGTCACTCTTCCTCGTGGTCATTATTTTTAAGTGTAAATATTTTTTTCGGAAATCCCATTATTTACAAGCCATAATTTGAACGAACTCCACACTTTATGTAAAAAGACTATTGTGTGTACGGCAAAAGAGCAGAAAGCAGCTGACATTGAAGATGCTTTGCAAACTTGTAATTTACTACTGAAATCTGTACACATCAAGATGACAAAACATTTGTTACTGTAATTAAATATTATATAGTTTATCACATTTACATTTTTGATAATTATTATTGGCTACTATAGAATTGCAAGAAAACTTTTTTTTTTACATTTTCTTTTTGTGCACCTGGTAAATAGATGTTTTGTTGAATAGGAAAAGGTTGTTTCCATGTTTGGTTTTTACAGTTGCTGGGGTCTTGTGTTTTATTATAGAGTTCATCAAGTTCAGAATAAAAATGAGAGCTGTCAACAGTCTGATTGACAGGACTGAAGTGTACTTAAGTCTGTGAGAATGTTCCTGTGTCTAGTTTACACTAAGCACTAAACAGTGATGGAATTCTGGGATATGAAGTTTAATGTTGGTGTACACAGGCTTTAATGACAACCTGAGATGGTCCAAGAAGTACGGTATATGCATTATGACAACAGAATAGTGAAATGCATTGTAAAACAAGTCATTGATTTGGCTCATATGTATTCTACATGTAACTAGTGCCCCTGTACCTTGTCTCCTTGACCTGTCTCTAGAACTTCTTTCCACCACTGAGAAATGGAGAATCTGTATTGCCTTGTTAATATCAAAAATGGACACATAATTTTTTTTAAATGACAAAAATGTGGAAATAAAGATTATTTATCTGTTATTTATACAGAGCATTGTGTTTTATTACTTAACCTATTTTTATTAGACATCACCTGCCAGTAATTACCCCCCTGGAGACTTTCTGTTACAATTACTCAATTTCTAATATGCCCAGGGAGAAACTGTTCCAGGTATATAAATATATATAAAAAAGAACAATCAATAAGGGGAAATTCCTTAAGGCCACAAAAAAAAAACATTGAATTGAATATTTTTTTTAAGAATAGAAATGCCCTTCTTATCCAGGGACTTAAGTATTTATAAACAATATAAATAATCGCTTTGACTTTGATTACGTATAGATCCTTCAGCAGTTTGTATTGATCATTTACGGCCACCAGAGGGCGCTGTTACATTGTTTTTGGCCACACTCTTAATTGGAGTAGGTCCAATCCAATCCACTTTATTTATAAAGCGCATTTCATATCCGAGGTTTCCATGTGCTGCACAATAACATACTAAATAAAACAAATCCATAGTAAAACAGCAAAATAATAAAAAACTCATATATGAAAAACCGTGTATGCATATATGTATAAATATAAAAATAACAATAAAAAAGATTAAATAAAAAATAAATAAAAGGACCATACATAACTCATGCAGTGTTAGAAGCCAGAGCATAAAAATGGGTCTTAAGACGAGACTTGAAACACTCTATGCTAGGTCTATGCTCTCATCTCCTTTTGAAGTCCTCAGTCCTCGCAAATGTTCTTTACGCCAAAGAAATATACGTGCGTGATTGTGCGTGCGTCTCTCTGATCCCCACATCCTCCCGAGAGCGCTCCTGGGGTGGGAGCATAGAGCGGTCTTGGGAATTCTGCGTTATAAAGAGGATCTCATTAGTGGCCGAGGCTCTTGGGTCCAGGAGGAAGCACAGAAGCAGAACCCAGCAGGCGCCTGTCCCACCGGAACACAAGACTCCAGGATAATCACATAAAACAGACTTTATCAAAGATGGTGAAGTTGCATCATATTTTTGCTATTCCCTTTTCTGTCGTAAAAAAAAAAAAATATATAAAAAAAAAAAAATATATATAAAAAAAAATATATATATATATATATATATATATATATATATATATATATATATATATATATACAAACATTCGCCTTCTGAAGGATTAGGCCTACGTTATCAATTATGAAGTTGGCTGCAGGTAAAGTTTTGAACACTTTCTTGTTCAATTGAGTTTAAAGAATAAAATAAGCTTTAATGTTTCCGGGGGGAGATGGAATTATGGATATTGTTTGATGATGAAAACTACAGATAGCATGAGTTTATCTTTTTTAAATTATTATTTACCACTAGGGTCATAGACTAAAGGGGAGTAGTTAGTGCTAACAGGTGCAAAAAAAGCAAATGATTTTGAGTCACCAGACCTGTATAAATGCAGAGAACCTCAAAATGTTTGGCATTGGTTGGTTCTTTACAAAGAATCCAGAGGGCCAAGAAAACAGGTTTGAGGGCTGTATCGGCTTGTGATGTTTGCAGCATGACGTTTGAACATGTAAGTAAGTAAGAAAGTTACTTCAGTGGTGCCATGGGAATTCTTCCTCTGCATTTGACCCATAGGGCCTCTGTCAGGAGCCGTGGTGGCGGTGGCTGAAGACCCATCCTCAGATGTTGATGCTTGGCTTGGTCAGGACCTGAGCTGGGGGGGTTTTATCTATAGCACATGGTTTTAGTGGTAGGGGAAACCAAAGCAAGCAGAAGACGTATACATAGACACAGGGAGAACATGCAAACTCCACTCAGCGGTCCCTTTTTTCTGAGAAGCGAAAGTGCTGACCACCATACCCAAGTCTAAATAAAACTCCTCCACCTATATACAGTATGCATCAATACACGCAACACACACACATTTCTGTGTTTATAACCGCAAAAGCAAGTTTTATAATCATATTACCAAAATAGATGTAATTTTGACTGTCAAGCCATTGCCCATGTGCACCTATTGTGCAAGAAGTAATAAAACTCG